GCTGTTAATATTGATAACTCTGCAATTAAATGTAATTTAATCTATGCAGAAATTAGCAACTACTTTCATCATTTCAGCCATGTGGAGAAAGTATGTTCCCAAGCCTCTAGTTGTGAAAACTTTTTTCCCCTCTAGCTGAGAAAAGCCATGCGATCAGTTGAGGGGATCATTCCTGTGCTTCCTCACCAGAAGAGCCACCCAGCCAGAAGCCATCTGGCTGAGAACTTTCACCAAAATCCATTGCCTTGGACAATTCTTTATTTTTTCTTTGTTTGAAAGCTGTTTCTCATTTGTTTAGTTTAGGCAGTGTGGAATGTGAAAGCAGTTTGCCCTCAAGACCATTAGTCTACTCCCTACTGACGGAAAAGGTGGTAGGATCTTGGTGTGTGGGTCTCTTACCTAAACCCACACACATTCACACGTTGAAGCATTTACTTTGTTCTGTGTTTTGAAAGTTTCTTCGGGGGTGGGGGAGGGGAGTAATGGACCTCTGCTCTTATTTAACAGTGTGTGATACATACTTAATTGGTGGTTTCAGCCATACTTAGTGCTAAATGGAGGCATGTCCTTTCCTAGATGGGTTGTTTTAGTTCAGCCATGTGCCTGGAATGGTTCATCAAGCAGTAGCCTAAAATGTATGGAGAGGCATGAGACTGCAGTAAGAGAGTAATGTTACAATTTATTCCCCCCCGCCCTTGAAATGAACAGTGATAGTGGGACCTCACCAGAGAACAAAGGAGGCAACTTGGGATGTTACGCTTCTGTTGGATTGACTTAGAAAATGAATATGAGAATGAACAGGGACTTGAACTCTTCCATGGTACATGTAGAGGGTTGTGCTCTTCTATCCCAAAGACAAGAATGGGTTTCTTCAGGCCAGAAGTACATGCTTGAACCATGGACAGTTTTTCTCTGGGGTTGCATTGCTGGAGACAGATAGTAGTGATGCTCATGCCCTTCTCTTGTCTGTTGAGCCTGACTCTGCAGCTGGGAGCCCTCCTTCCTGAAAAGAGCTGTTGATGAACAGCATGAATTCAAGGGAAGATCTAGAATGCTGGATTTAATATATATTTTTTTTTTTTTACTATATACTCTTTATGGGTTTTGTAAATACATTATTCTTTATTATAAAATTTGTGTAACATTATTCCAAGTCTATGCAGCTTTTCAGGGATAGCCTTTTTAATTGTGCTGCATAGATTAATTTAGTGCCTTATTCCAGTGAATACTGTTCTTAATATGATAAACAGAATTCAAGTACCTTAAAAGTATATAGGCTTTCTGCCTCAGTTCATTGTTTCTCTAAGATAATGTTTTGAGTAATGAACCAAGAGCATCATTTACGCTTTTGCATCTGGCACTTCTCCTATTTTCGTCATATTTCTGTATCAGCAACATTTCCAGCCATGAGAATCCTCTCTCTTTCCTATAAAAACAGTTTTCTCAAGTCTGATAATACCTTCCTGTTTTACTTCAGACTCAGTCTTTGGGAGTCATGCCAAGATGTCACTGGGACATACAGTAGCTACAGCTTTTGAATCTGTCATCTGAGGTGGTTTTTTGTTTGTGGGTTTGGTTTTGTTTCTTTTTTCTCTTTGTTTTGTGTGTGGTTTTTGGGTTTGTTTTTGGTTTGTTTTTTTTTTTAATATTAGAGTTATATGGAGCTGCAGTTGTCACAACATTAAAATGCTACAGAAGTCTGGTTAGTGCCACTGGCAATTCAGTTGTAGGGGTTTTCCTTGTACTATTAACAAGCTGTTGGCTTGTATGTGTTCTTAATAGGGCAGCAGTCTTTTTGAAAAACTTTAATTGGAAAGAATACATGAAAATCTTTCCTCACTTAACTGTGTAATTCTGTGAAGCTTGTGGCATATATCATCAAAGTGTTATCATTGTTTTATTTTCAGAAAATAAATTTTGGTTTTTTTCTTTAGTTCTGTGGCTGGGACTGCTTATGAGCTATACAGTATCTGGGAGAAGTACTGTGTTTTGGAGAACACCTACATCTGCTTACAGGCTTGCGCAGCAGTAGGCTTCCTTTTCCCTTACAGATCACTGCTGTTTTCTTAGCAATGGTATATTGGGTGTTTAAAGTATGGGAGGGTTAGTTTTTTTTCTGCTGATGGTTAGTCAGTGATGGTGGAAAAAAGTCATGTTTTAATAATGGTTGGTTTTTACCAGAATTCTGTTTTCCCTGCTTGCTATTTGTTACCCTTTTTATGATAGAGCAGAAGCTAAGCGAGTCCATAAATAATCCAAACAAATAATGTCTTACATAGATTTCAGATTAACTAGGGTTCTATTTTGTAGTTATATAACACTGATAAGTTTTTAGAGGTTGGCAAAGTGTGAAGCTGCCATGGATCTCCAGAGATCTGGTTTTATCATAACTAGGTGGTTACCAGCTTAAGTGTTTCCTGCTTGTTCTTAGCTCTGCAAAGGCTATATAGCCAAATGAGTAAAACTGAACTTGAGTTTATGAGTGATCATAGCAAATATGTAGTAAGAAGTCAGTTCTGCTAAGACTGTGCAAATGCAGTGCAGGGAGTTAGCTTGCATGGTCACTGCAAGAGTCCTGGGCAGCTTGCCGATAATCTTGCTGCAATGACAGGTGAACCACAAAGCCTCTAATCTGATTTTGGTTCCACAACAATAAAAATAAATAGAAAAAGATGTATTTGCTTTATTGTAACTGAGATAGCTTAGCTGAAAAAGTACTTAAAGTTTTATAGCTCATTTTGAGAGCAGAATCTTGCTTTAAACTTGAAGTCCATTGAATAGGTGTTGCTCAGAGCTGTGCATTTTGGGTATGTTTCGGGTTGTATTGTCTATCTTTTCATAGGTGCTGTGAAAAGGAGATGATGGAGTGCTTGGCTCAGGGTTTTTTGTGAGGTAGCCCAGAGCCTGCTTGCCTCAGCTCATTCACACAGCGTCCTACTCCATCCTGCTCTGTCTCTGCAGCACAGGCTTAGCCAATGGCTCGTATTGCAAGTGGCGTTGGTGGGTAGAGATCCTTAAATTGTTGCTTGAAACTGAGTTACTTCACACAGTATGGTTGGTTCATGGTTCATTAAGGGATTGAGCAAAGAAAGGGGGCTGAGACTGAAATTGCTATGAAATGAATCCTGGATACGTTCAGTGCTCAGGAATGTTGTGCGACGGGCATGGTAATGGTGTCTGCAGGTTTGCAAGCACATCTGAAAATTTTGCATGGCACACTGGCAACCAAGAAGAATATTCATCTGTATATAGATATCTGCCTGCCTTACAGCAATGCTGAGACTTCGTTAATATTTGTAGAATGACTTTAATAGAAGCACAAACGAATTATTAGTAGAAGGGAATGGGTAAGGCTGTTGTAACACACTGGCAGATGTTGAGGAAGTTCCTTCTGAGTTTTGACAGGAGATGAATTTATAATTTTGTGGAAGGCAAAAAAACATGCCTTCACAGATACCTAGGATATCTTTGTAAGGAATTATGCTCTAATTAGTCTTTGCTGATGTACAAACTGTATGTGTATCTATTTTGTAGTTACTTCATGCTGAAATTACTACTTCAGGATGTGTGAAATAGTCATCTTGCTTATACCAGCCTTAATAGGTACATTCAGCTGTTGTTATGTGTATCACAAATGAGATAATCCTAAATGTCATTGGGAATGTCCCTGGAAAATATTACACAATTGTCTGTGAAGTAAATACAGATGGGCTACACTTGAGAGCTTTGAAAGATGTTTTGCTGTGAATCTTGTAGTTCCTGTTTCTAGAAATTTCTTAGATCAAATTCTTTTTTGTATTTCCTGTGAGATGAGGGAAAAAGTGAACTTGTAGTGGGAAGAACACTTTGTATGGAATAGTTCTGGCTTCTTCAGAGCATCAGTGTCTTTTGGAAGATGTTATACCTAGATTAAGTAACATTTTATAGAGAAACACATGGTTTCTAATTAAGAAAATTAGGGAACTACTTTGTTCTGGGGGGAGCTGTGGGCTGCTGAGTTCAGAGTGGCCTTCCAAGTTCAGTGCAAAATCTCAATTCCAGGGTGGACAACGTGCTAGCGTGTATTCACAGAATCACAAATCCTCATACTACTGTTTGAATTACTAGAAGATCTTACTAGATTGTCAAGGATACATATGAAAACTGCCATAGATACACATGCATACTGTGGTTTATTTTTATTAATCTAACTTCCTTCTTAACCCTTTCGACATACTCCAGCTCTCTTTATTTTGCATACTTTTCTCGGAGTTCTCTGTTCTTTTCAGTGTTACCTTATTTTTTGGGTGGAGGAAGGTTTATATTTTTTGCTTTGTCTCAGAAGATTCAGTGTATTGTGGGAGGTCAGGCAACACTGCTCTTGGCAGAACACCACAAAACCAAGAGAGTAATTAAATGACGTAAGCCTTTGATTATTTTTCTCTCTCAAGCTTTCTGGCACGGCTGGGCATTCTGATTGCAAAAGGAGGATCAGGAGAAGAAACTTCTAAAGATCGCACACAGAATTAAAACAACTGTATCAGAGACTTTTTGCTGCTTAAAAGCTCTTCGCTCTGAAGTCCTGGAGTTGCTTCTTTTTCCCCTGTGAGAATGATGTCTCTTTCGTCACCCAATATAGATGTAACTGAAAGGGAGTTGCCAAGCTTTTGTTTTGGTTTCTCTGCTCCCTTGCTAATTGGATTTTTCCCATCTTCTGCAGGAGGATTATAAAAGGATTAGAGAAGCTGGGGGGTTTGGGGTGTGGGAGGTAGCTGTTGTTTTTCTCCATGATTCTGGGACCAACTTGATTTGCCATTTGTTCCCTGAAGTCACTGTCTGTTTGGAAAAGGGAGAAGCAGCATAACAGATGAACTTGCATGACCATGGATTCCTTCCATTTGCAAACTTTGTATGTGGCTGCTTGTAGAAGAGGTTTTTGCATACATAAGCATCACATGAAGAATAACATCCTGGGCCGGATTTAAAAGAAGCAAACCACTTGTGTCCTGATAAAAGGATAAATTCTGTTTATAATTTAAAGAAGATTGGATGATGTGCTAGTTGAATTTCAGTGAAAGAAAGGAAGGGTCTGATCCAAGTCAAATACTCTGCCAGCCTAAACCTGAATATTCTACAGCTGAAACTAGAAGATGTCTTGGAAAAGAAATTACTTTTCCGTGGGTCGGGGGAATGTACAGGGCATGTTTACTCCACGAAATACAACCTCAATAGCACCCAGTAAAGGTCTCAGCAATGAACCAGGACAGAACAGTTGCTTCCTGAATAGCGCACTACAGGTAAGAGCCCAGAATTAAAAAAAAAAGTTTCTTTCTTTATCCTCTGTCTATTGCAGTATTTTCTTAGGCTTGACTATTCAACAGATAAAGTCAGGCTTGACTACGTATTTGTTTGTGGGTCTAGACAGAATAAAGCTACATGTGGAAGTGCAGACTAGTTGAGCTATAGAGCAGTGGTTTTTAATTTTCAGGTTTTCCTGATTTACATAGTCATCACTTAGTGTACTTCAATCTCTTCTTTGTGTAAACTTCTAATATGTCAACCAAAGCAGAAAGTGTATGTAAAAGAATTATTTTAAAATAATAGAACACCACATAGCTTGCAGTATGTCTGCTCCTTACAAGGAGTAGACATTTAATTTTTTTTATTGAACTTTAGATCTAACTTTTTTATTGAACCAGGCAAGTTCAGGATACCCATACAAGAGTCATTTTATATAGCTTTCTTTTAACTGCTGATTTGTAGATGCTTAGCTTAGATGACTGAGTGTTAACCTTTCAATTTAGAAGAAAAGCCTTTTCCTGTGTCATAATTCAGCGGAGTGGTACGGCTGCTATAATGGTATTGTCACCATTTAGAGTTTTTTAATGTTTGATGTTTGAGATACTCAGTCCTGTCTGCAGGGTTTAAAACCCTTTTTCCACATCAGTTTCCATCCCTTCATGTGACTTGTCTGTGTAGCACAGACTGTGTTTCTGTGGTTGCTTTTTTTTGTGTATTTTGGTACATGGTGTTTTGTTGTTTTCTCCCATGTGTATGATCAAGTTCTCAACTAACTTTAGATTCAGGCTTCAAGGTACCCCTAAATGCAAATAATCCACAGAAAAACATCAGTGACCTTCAAAAGGCTTAATAAACCATGAAATACAGATCTAGGTACAAAGAGAATTTATAGTAAGAAAAGTGAAAAGTGGAGTTTCCAATTATGTACTCTATTGCTTCTGTTAAGTTGTAAGGTATAATCACTAGCTACTTCCTTATTCCGAGTTACTGAACTTAGGTTCTCCTTTGTTCTGACCTAACAGCTGCATGCCATATATGAAGATGAAAGTGACCTGACCTTTATTCTTCTACATAAACTGTTTTCTTGTGAAGCTTAAGAGAGACAGGATACCAAAAATATTTACTGTCAAAGCTGAATTTCAAAAAAAAAAAGCAAGATAGTAATAATTTCAAAAAATGTATATACCTTTGTTTTTTAATTTTAATTTTTTAATATTCAGCATTAGTCTGAGATGCTCTTGAATGCTTGTTGTTCCTTACTCTTAAATATTTCTATAAACATTCAAGATAAACTCCAAAGCCAATTACATAAAAAAATTGGACTTGTTCCTAAATGTATTATTTTTTGTTCTTCTGTGAAGTCTGCAGTAGTTCTTCAGGAATATTGCATGTAATCAGATGTTTCCAAGGTTTATGTTGCCTCCCAGGCCCTTAAGTATAGGGAAAGTTTGAGTATAAACATAGCCATGACAATTCTGAAGTTTTTGTAAACCTTACAGATTACTCAAATGTGTTTTTAAATATAATTTTAGATAATGTTTGGGTGCTGTGGTTTAGTTAACAAATTTTTCCAGCTGGAAATACTTCTTGAAACCAGCACAACTTTTTTCAAAGTGCTTGATTTTTTTTTTATTTTTTTTTATTTTTTTTTTTTTATTTTCCCTAACCACTTGCAATAAGAAGTTTGGTTCCCCTGTTTATGCTAACAGAGCATTTACCCAGTCAGATGCCAGCCTGGACCTTGCCACTCCGGAACATGGCAGGACGTGATTTAGGTCAGGGCTTCTTTCAGTGCAAGCTTCTACCTCCTGAAAGGCTGGTGGCTCCGAGGCTTACAAGAAGGTCCAGTTATTGTTAGTTGAAGCTGAAATAGCCAGCACCAACCACATGTATATATAAAGAGCTGACTGTGAAAAATCTCAGAGATCAGTATTGTTGCTGTTTTAGAGATAAGAATGTAGATAATTGGCCAAGATTACACAGATTTAGTGGTAAAATTTAAGCGTAAAACTCGGCACTGTTACAGCAAACGTTGCCTGTTGCTGTTCCTAGCAGAGCACAGAAGAGCCTGCTTGCTTTTATATGCTGTAACCATATAACCTGGTATTACCACCACACCTATCCTTAGAGAAGCGTATAACTGCCCACAAAAATGAGTATTAAAAATCTGCCAGTAATCATTGCATATAAGTACACTTCCTAATGATAATATTGGGCATAACAGCTTTTTAATGTATATGCTGTTGGTGCTCCATTTTTCCAGCATTTGGGCTTTCTGCTCAGAACAAGGAGGCTGCCTAAGAAGTGGAATGACAGACAGGTTTTGGCCCCAGCAGTCAGTGGGGTGTTCTTGGCAGCTCTGCCCAGCCTCATGGTGTGGCTGCACAATGTGGTGCGAGCAAGGGGGAGCAGTCAGGGCAAGTGCTGTTTAAGCTGGGACTACCAGATGGACAAGAAGTGAGTTTTCTAACCTAAACGCACATGCAAGAAATTTAGAGGGATGTCCTACTGTAAATTAATGTAAGTGAATGCTACAGCTGAGGAACAAAGATGAAAATGTCAACTTGCAGTTAGATAAAAGGCATCCTGTTTTAAAAGTGATGGTCACTGGGAAATTAGGCTACTTATGTGATTATTATGTGCAATTTTCATCAGAGCTCTTTGCAGTATTTTATATATTCTCAAAATTGGCTGTGACCCTTTTGTATTTCAGGTTCTCTGGCACCTGGACATTTTTCGGCGCAGTTTTCGGCAAATCACAACGCACAAATGTATGGGAGATTCTTGCATCTTCTGTGCTCTTAAGGTAAAAGTTGGAAATAAATTCAAAACAGATTTAAAAAAAATAACAAATATTTCTAATATTTGATTAATATATGTAATCAAACTTTAATCTGGAAATTCAGGAGAACAAAGGTAAATCTGATCAGTACTGACCCAAGACACTCACAGTACTCTTTTTAAATTATGTTCAAGCCAGTAAACTCTGAAAATACTGCAGGTAAAGTTTCAGATACAGGGGCTCTTATCAGTGGAGTACAGATCATTGTCAGCTTTCATGTTTTTCGAAAGATCAGTTCAGCCAGTATAACATTAGTTTGCTTAGTTTTTTCCTATTTATCATTTTGTTTATAAATATACTGTGTATACAATTAGTTTGCTCTTCAGAAATTACTTTTCCTTCAGAGCTACTTTAGCTATAAGACTTTCTGTTCAAAACTGTTGATTATGTAAGACTAAAAGGTGTTTTCTACTGTAAATATTGATGTCTGCATTGAATTCCTGGGCTCTTTGTGGCCTCTGTTTTAAAAAAACATCAGTTCTATTTGTAGATGCAGATACAGTAATTGACTGCCACAGAAGCTGCGTGAACAGTAAAATGTGGATGCTACCCCTGATTCTGAGTACTGTTATGTACTTGAGTAAACTGTGCAATCCTTCATCTCCATTTCTCTCTATCCATTAATTTTTAGTACTTCTGGTTTTTTGTGCCTTCCTTTCTAAGTTTTGCTACTTCAAACCCACAGCTCCCTCTAACCTTGTTGGAGAGAAAGGATGTGATGAAAATACCAGTTTTAATCTTCCTGACCAGTAATTTTCCTTTCTGAAATAGGTGCTAAGACATTTTCTTTGATCATAAATGGGTTGTAATATCTGACTAAATATATAAATCCACTGTGGGAGAATGTGTCATGAGTTCTATGTGCGGTAATGAAAAGGACAGACAGCGTGTCTTATAAATATGGCAAAATAGAGAATGCATGGTTTAAATTAAGATCATACGAAGTTCACAGGCAGTATTTATAGTATAATAGCTGTCTTGCTACTGTTAAATTACTTTACAGGTGCTCTGGGAGACACAGGCTTGAAATGAGTTATCTGGTGAGTTTCTGGACTGTTGTTGAGGGGTTTTCCCTTGCAAAAGAAGAGCAAAGAGGAGACTGTTAAGGCATGGGGGAAAAAAAAAGTAACTTCCTTCTAGAGGGGAATTTTCCTCAAGATGTATCTCTTGAAATGATGAGACAAGATAATATTTACAGCATTATCATCAGAAGAGGATAGAACAGTGGGTTAGGAGCAAGATAGCGCATCAAAATCAGAAATAGAGCTATCCAGACAAAGAAAAGATGGAGTATTAAATATATCCTCTCCTGTATAGGGAAGTGGCAAGATTTAGGCATCATCTAGTTTGAGATCATTAAGTTCAGTGGAATAAATAATTTGAAGTTAATTCTGGGATCATTCCCTCGAGTACTGCCAGGTGATTTTTGGCATTCTTTGGTAGCTGAGATGGGGACAGTAAGAATAGGAAATTACTATGAATGCAAGCTTTTGCTCTTCGGGGGTTTAACCTAATAGCATGATATGGCAAAGAAATACCAGGAAATCAAACGGGTTCTGCCATTTGAATGAAAATAGGCTGGACTTTCAAGGAGAGTTGAGTTTAATATAATAGCTAAAAGTCTTTTTCTGAATGAGTACTGGAAAAGGGAGATGGGGGAGATGTTACAGGGAAAAGAGAGGATGAACCTTTGTGGAACAGATATTGAAAGATGAACTCTGGACAAACATGTATCTGGATTAGCAATACCAATATGAGGGGGATGACAGGATCTCTGGAATATTTGTATTAAAAGCATACATTGAGGCAAAGAATGTTTTGTTTTGTTGATAAAATCCTTGCTTTTGATGTCTTGCTGAAGTGTGCAGTATGCTATTATAAACTTGGAAGTGACAGGTAGGGTGGCAGAATTCACAAAATGTATGCCTGCAGCCATATGCTTATTTTTTAAATTAAGCAGCCTTTGAAAGAAATTGCTGCTCTCTCTCCTTGCTTCCAGATGTCTGCAAGGATTTATTTGGTTTGTTTCCTATCTGAAGTTCTTATCAGTGCCATGCTTAGCTAGAAGGTGTTACAACCTTTAGTTTCCAAGAAAGCTGTAACATTGCACCAAATTCTCTAGTGCTGTTGCACATTTTAGAAAACTTGCATCTGGTTGTGTGCAGAAGTCCTATTAGCTCCCAAAAGTCAATATATAATGAAAAACTGAAGAAATGCATAAACAAGTAAAGAATTATTTGGACGATATGGATAATTACCAGTACTCTACAAAATAGGTAAATGAATTCCAATTGGCTTTGATCAAAACCGGAACATTAGGTTTTTGTCGATCTACAGTCTGTTCTTCATGGGAAATTTCAGTGTGTTCTACCTAAGCCTATTCCAGAACCTTCAGCAAGTTTACAGACATCTATTGTAAAACTGTACAAGAGAAAAAAAATACATAGAAATCTGTTTGAGAAATTATAGAACTGTTTTACTTCTGATTCCCCTATGTTCATAAAGCAACTCATAATTTTATGTTTTTCTCTGGGGGATACCATGACAAGTTTCGACCTTTATTAACTTGTGTAAGATATTGATGTGTACACATAAATATTTGAAAAAAAATCTCCATTTTTAGGTTATTAACAAGTAAAATAATCTTATAAAGGTGAGTAATGAAGGGTGTCACTTAAGTGAAATCAGGGATACAAACCTCCCTTCACCCTTCCAGCCCTCCTCCAAAACCCCAAAGACCAGAAGCTTCAGTTGCATGCAATCAAGACAATCTATAATGTAGGGATACTAAATGATAAAATTATGCACAAGGGGTAGCCCCAAGTCGTGGAGAAGGCTACATTAATCTTCTTCAACTCCTTAAGCAGGCAGTAGATGGGGGTGGAAAGGCTGTTCAAGGTATTTACTTATTCTCTGCTGCCCTCTGGATCTGTGTTCTCACATTTCACACACAAACACACAAACCCCTGCCCCGTGAAAGCTGTCTGTCTGACACGTACGATGTGTAAACTTGTATAAGACAAATGAGATAATGTGCTTAATATGCATCTAATACTGCAAACATCACCAAGAGCATGTTTTGTGTCCCAGTGCAGCAGGATCATCTCTTCCCTTCTGTGCTTATCTCTTCCCCTGCCCCAGCCCTCCTATCTGCTCTGGAAGCCTTTAATTGTTGTCCTGCCAGAGTAATGCCAGCTTAGCCTCCAAGTCTTTGACATCATCTTTCTCTTGAATCTTGCCTTAGGCTTTGCTAAAATGAGGGAGAAGATATGGCTGGATCCAGTGGGAACACAAGAATTTGGAGCTCTATACCATGCGAAAATCTCCCATTAGGGTCTGGGGAGAGGTAATTAGTCTTGCATGCTGTCAGGTGGATCTGCTGGAAATACCTGTCCAGATCAAGCAAGGTAGAGGCAGGACATGTACACTTTTCTCCAAAGCATGCTGGCATGTTCAGGTTCCAGCTTGGCCAGGAAAAGGGCAATATGTGGGGGAGAAAGAGTGTACTTTGTGTGCCACCCCCACTCC